GCGGGCGAGGAGCAGCTCGGTGCGGCGCAGGAGCAGCCGCCGCAGGTCCTCGGCCAGCGCCTCCACGCTGGAGTAGCGCGCCTTCTCCGAGTCGAAGATGTCCTTGAGGAACAGGACGACCTGACTCTGGAAAGGAGCACAGCAGACCGTTTACCGGACGGGAGCTCAGGGGCGGCCCTGAGAAACGGGGTCAGGACCGCCGAGCAGCGCACGGAGGAGAACCTGATCGTCAGTCCGTCCCGTGCGTGCTCACTTCCTCGGCGGCGCCGAACCTCACGCGGGAGAGGCATCCCCGCGAGCAGAACAGCAAAGCCTGCGGTCTGTCCGTCAGAAACAACGCTAACTGGGCCGGGATCGAGCGTCCCAGTTCGATCCCCGGTTCCAAAGGAGAAGGAACAAGGTGAATAAGCCGAAGAAGGCACCTTTTTCACTTCCGGAGTCCCCGCCCTCCCCGGAGGGGGACAGGGCAGAGAAGGGCTGCGCAGCCCGAACTCTCCCACTCGGACTCAGTCCTGTCACTCTTCTTTGCCCCCGGAGACTCAGCTCAGACCTAGGCTATGTATTACCGCAAGGCCTGCCCTGGTAGTTGGCTCACTAGCAAGTTTTGCCAGGAGCTGTAACTTGGGTCTGGAAAACCAGCTCCGGACGATCGCCCGCCTCTCTAGGCTCCCGTCTGCTTCTCAGGCCTGCGGAGCCAGGACCCGTCCGTAAGGCCGTGTGTGCAAGTGTCCGTGCCCAGCAAGACCGCGAAGAGCCCTACGGAGCTGACAAGGTGGTCGTGCTCGCTTCGGCATCACATACACCGAGTACTCTACAAGGACTAAATCTACTGTAGAGCACTGGTCAGTTCCAAAGGCAGAGGTGGTGTGAAATGCCACGAATTGAACACTGGCATTTAAATACTGGACTCCGGTGATTTTTGTAACTTTTTGGAGGCAGGGTCTCGCTATACATAGTTCAGGCTGGCCTTGGACTCACTGTGTAGCCCAGACTACCCTTCAACTTATGGTGATCTACCTGCCTCAGCCTCCCGAGTGCTCACAGGCACGCACCACACCACACCTGGTATATAACATTTTTAAATAACATTCTTTCTTCTATAGGAGCAAAAATAAAACAGAATAAACCCTTGTCCACTTTTTGATTCAGAAAAAGAAGGAATGATTCAACGATGAACTTACCTTAAAGAAACAACATAAGTCATAGAGAGAATTTCTAGGACCCAGAAATCCCCAGGCCAGGACAGGGCTTATGTGCTCGCAAATGGCATAAAAATGGGCAAAGAATCCATCTGGGATCTGTTGGGAAGTAAAAAGAGGCAGGTTATTTTCTGTCTTCTTATACTTCTTTCTCTAGTAGAGAAACTGAGATTGCTACCCATTATATGACCCCTTCCCCAGTACTGGGGGTCGAACCCAGGATCTTTACACTAAGCTAAATCCCCAAACTTTTTAAATTGTTTGAGACAGGGTATTGCTAAATTGCCAAGTTGACCCCTGAACTTTTGATCCTCCTGCCTCAGCCTCCCAGAGTGCTGGAATTATAGACATGCACTATCACGCCTGATTATGACCAACCTTTTCTGAGGGCAGACCTAGGTCTCTCTGAGGGCAGACCTAGGTCTCTCATGAGCCAGCCTCTTAAAAAATTTAAAAAATGCACAAGTAACTTTTAAGAGTCAAAGACTGGTTTTATATAGATTTCATATCTCACCAACAGTTTCAGATGTGATTTTTTTTTTTTTTTTTTGAGATAGGGTCTTCCGAATTCACTAAGTTTCCCAGCTGGACTTACGAAACTGAACTTGTGTTTCTCTTGCCTCAGCCTCCTGAGTGCTGAGATCATAGGAACCAGGCCCCAGCTGAAATTATTACTTAAGGGCATTTTTCACCTCATAAAAATACACCTTATCCAAAATGCTCAGGGCCCAAAGTACTTCACATTTGTTTTCTAATTTTGAAACACTTGCACACACAATGACACATCTTGGGGATGAGGTCCCAGGCAACAGCCTAAGCCTCGTTCATGTCTCATGCACACCTTCCACACGCACTGAGGGTGCCGCACACACACTTCCAATGCACCAGCCTCTGAGCAGCAGCCGACAAAGCACAGTGTGAAATTCGCCACTTATCTGACTGGCTCTCAAACGCTTTTGGGTGTCAGAGCGTTTCACATTTGGATTTTCACATGAGGGACAGTCAGCATCTACTTCTTCAACAATCTCGGTGTTGGAGCCTGGCGGTGACAGGAACATTAGTGTCCCTCAGCCATGGCATTTTCAGGAGTTATGACTGCCATGTTCCAACTATTTAAAAGTTCCACTGGGGCCGTGGATTAGGCTCAGTGGCACCACGCCTGCCTCGCAAGTGCAAGGTCCTGAGTTCGATCCCCGGTACCAAAAAAAAAAAAAGAGAGAGAGAGAGAGAGAAATCTAGCATTAAACATCTAATTATGTAATTACCTCTTCCGGTGAACTATCAGTATGTATATTTTTGTCTTAGGAAACTAAGCTTACCAGTAACTTTGTGAGTTTCAGGTTCTGTGAAAAAGCACTTACCGGGGACCCCTGAGCCTTAGGGTTCTGTGTTTGGGGGGATTAGTTTCTATTTTGCAGTCTCCAGGACAATCTTTTAAACCTCACTTAAAAAAAAAAAATAAGACAAAGGGTCGGTGATTTAGCTCAGTGGTTTTGTGGCCTGCCTTGCAAGCGCAAGGACCCGAGTTCAATCCCCGGTACGAAAAAAAAAGGGAAGGGGGAGTAAGGGAAAAAGAAAAAACTATGAGAAAATGTAAAAATGGAATTAAAGTGTTTGAAGGGGGGGAAGGGAGGGGAGGGTGAAGGGAGGGCGGGGACAAGGGGATAAAATGAGAACCAAGACCTGGCGTGTAAAGGTACGAGATCCCAGTAATGAATGTAACTGTATTGTGTACCTAGAATGTACCAATAAATTAAATTAAAGCTGAAAAACAAAACAAAACAAAACAACACACAAACTGCTGGGCATGGTGATGGCACATCTATAAGCCCAGAACTCTGGAAGCTGAGGCTGGAGTTCAAGGCCAGCCTGGGCTGAACAGCAAGACCCAGTCTCCAAACACAACAGCAGCAGCAAAAACACAGGTGCAGTTATCATTTAATGGGGACTCATTACATTCTAGACAATACATAGGTCCTGTTTAATTTGCTAAAATACTCCTGCAAAAGTGGGTCACGGTCACAGCATTTTAAGTATGTGACAAGCAATACGGGAGAAGTTAAACAACCTGCCCCAAGTTACACACAGCTGGTTAGTGAAGGCCGAACTCATCAGGAATGCACCCAAGTTATTCTAGTCTAAGATGCTCAGCAGACATTAAAGCTCTAAATACTCCTCTGTGCTGGGAATTCAGAAAGGCACACGGCTCAGAGGCGGAGGGAGGACCAGGGCTCCACAGAGGTAAGGGTATATGCAGGTACCAAGTACTTGCTGACAGGGTCCTCAAAGAGGGGGGAACTATGACCATCCCCGCCCAGTCCCCAAGGCAGGAGGGCCAGAGGTGGCACCTGGGGGGTAGCCTGACTCATGCGGAGCCCTCAGAACCAGTCAGAGCTTTTCCCCAGCAAGGGCGATCTGCTGCGCCCAGCCAGACTGGAAGCGAGGGTGCCTCAGGGTCCTGCCCTTCTATTCTTCCTCAGTCAAGGAGCACAAATCCCTCGCCAGAGGCAGCAGGCAGATCCTGGACTTTGCCGCCTTTCATAAACCTCTTTCCTGCCAAATCAGCCAGACTCAGGTGTTCTGCTACAGCAGCACAGTGTGCATGGAGAAGCAGACACAGAAGGGCTCTCACCTGCATCTGCTGCCTTTTCTTTTTCAGCACCGACCAACAACTAGAAGCCACAGCCTAAACACGCGGAGGAGAAAAGCACCATTAACTTCACAGTTGTAGAAATGTTGCACTAAAAAAAAGTGCTTTTTACTATTATTTTTTATGGCTCTAAAAAGTTCAAGCTACTAACTACCAATAAAAGCTAGTCCTGGCTCCTTATATTGTTTGTACTGAAAAGGTGCTTCAGTTATATACATTTTAAAATTAAACACAAAGCCATGAAGGGAAAATGTACCAAGGATCTTGCCAGTTACCATGCGATTCTCAAGAGGTCTGTTATTATGGAGAAATAATGAAAATATATGCCCGCAGAATACACAAATGTTCTATGCATAATAATGAAGGTAAAGTAATATTTTTCTTTAAGAATAGTATCACTGAAATATTTGTGGGTTAAGACTTCATTCAAGATCTAAGAAATTATAAGCATGACAGGACAAAAAAAGCAAAATTTTTTCAGTAGATCCTCAAGAGACATAACCCTATTCTCACATGACTCAACTTTGATCAGACAGACATGAGGAATAGCACTTTTTTGAGACAGGCGACTCACTGTGTAATTCAAGCTGGCCTTAAACTCACTATGTAGCCCAGGCTGGCTTTGAATCCACGGCGATCCTCCTGCCTCAGCCTCCTGAGTGCTGGGATTTCAGGTGTGTGCCACCTCACCCAGATAGGACATTTTTAAAAGACATTTAAACATGATACACACCTCACTTTATTTCTAGGTGCACACTTGTAAGGTGCAACAAAAACCAGGGTAAAACAGATTTCAACATAAAAAGAAATGGAAACGGAAAACATTAAAAGATTAGAGTACAGTTTACACTCATCATATTTTTGCACCTATTTTTTCTCTAATTTTGACAGTATTTGAGAAACATGAATTTCTGTATTTTCTTAAGAATACATATTGCCTTTTTTGGGGGGGTACCGGGGATTGAACTCGGGTCCTTGCACTTGCCAAGGCAGGCCACTGAACCGCTGAGCTAAATCCCCAACCCCTTATTGCCATTTTTTAAAAAACATAACTGCTGTATTTCAGCTTAGTCTGTCACATTAGTCAATTCATCCAGTTCTGTGACAGTTGGTTTTCCATCAGCTGTGAATGCATCTGATCTGAGTTTCTGTAGGGATCTGAGGAAACACTCAGTCCTACAGCACAAAGGATGGTTGGCCAAAAGGAGAATTCACATCAAGTGTTAAAAACTGTACATAGCTGACCCCAATACCAGAGAACGGGTCTGGTTCCCATCCTAGTCATTCCGCAGGCAGATGCACAGCATGTGTAAATCTCATTGATCTGTCCAGTTCTGACCACTTCTCATCATATTTAAATGGCTAAAAAAGGTAAATCACCACTTACAGTTTCTTTGAAGGAAGAGTTTAGCCAGCGATTATTTACTACATTCTGTATGGATGTGGGTGGGTTTTCTAAATCTTCAAAGGAATCCATTAATATAAAATCCAGAACAACATCATAAAAATTTAGATTTTTCACCTGCATTAAATTGTGAATTAAAAACAAATTATTATTATGGAAAGCAGAAATAAAATCTGAGCCAGGGCTTCACACTTTATAACAGTAGGGTTTTTTTTAAGTTAAATCAGATTATGTTTCTGACAGAAAAAGAGGAACAGAAGATAAACCTGAAAAGTCACCACTAGGAAGTTCAGTTTACGTGGCAGCGGCTGTGTCCCAGATCCCATCCAAGTGAATTCTCTCTCCTCACTCTGCTCCATTACAGGGCTGGTTCTTTCCATCCCCTGCCCTAACCCCTCTCCGACATGTCGTGCTTGCCAAGCCCAAGCAGGTCCTCAGGTTTCCACAGAACACAAACGAATCCCACAATTACCCACTCACAAGCACGGATTAGCACGATCCAAGCTAAGAGGATGGAGTTCCAAAGCCAGAGATGAGGGGAAAGTGGCCCTCTTCAGGGACTGAGGCTCCCAGTGAGGAAATGCCTGGTAGAGGCTGCAAGCCAAGGACGACGAGAGTGAGCCGTAGCCTCCGCAAACAGAAAGCACAGAGGAGTGCGGAGAGACCAGGAGGGAGGGCCAGCCCGAGCCAGCCGGCTGGGGTGCAGGTCTCCACATCAGCTCCGTGTGCGGCGTGGGGACCGGGCTGTGATGGGCACATGCTGGTGGCGCACACCTGTAGTCCATGCATCCTCAAAGGCAGGCAAGAGGAGTGAAAGTTCAAACCCAGCCTGGGCAATCTAGGAATACTGACTCAGAATAATAATTAGGAAAAGGAAAAGCCTAGGGGCCGTAGCTCAGTGGGAAGGCCTGGGCGTGCCAGGTAAGATGGTGGAGCAGAAATATCCTCTGCAAGGGAGAAGCTAAAAAAATTGGGAAGGAGCAACTATATTCTGAGAAGAGAGAAAGAGCTCAGGGAATCAAGGAAGAGGTGAGAGAGCTAACAAGTCCAAAGAGACAGAAGAGGAGGGAGCAGTCTGCCTCCCAGCACAGCTCCCTGCAGGGCCAGCTGATCCCCGGGCACTGGGTGAGCCTGAGAGCGGGGCCCATGAGGACAGCGGACGGGAAGCTCAGCTTGCAGAACCTGGCTCTGGAGGCGACGCCTTCAGGGCAGGCTTCAGAGAGGAAATGCCCTGCCCTGCCTGAGCACCGTGACAGGGGCTGTCCTGAGCGGGGTGCACCGCTTGAGGAGCGGGTCCGGACTGCCACGTGACGGGACAGAGAGGCCTCTGAGGAAAGGGGAGGTCGGTCACGGAACCGACGTTCACGCAGTGGGGCACCTGGCTGTGGGGCTCGGTGAGGGGCCAGGTCTGCTGTGTGAGTCTTCTGGGTGGCTTGGGGGTGATGGAGTCTGGCCCAGGGGCTACCCCGTGGGGCTCAGAACCCAGCGCTGCTTTCCCCACTCTCCCTCCTGCTGGGGGCCTCTGCAGTGAGTGGGGCACGGCTGGGAGGAGACAGCCGGGGACAACAGCAAGTAACCCGCTTCTGGAGGCAGCAGCCCCGAGGCGATCACGGTGTCACCCTGCCAGACAGATGGGTCCAGGGTGCCCGGTGCCCCCCACACCCACGGGCTCCAGGGTTAAGGGTGCCATGCAGGGAGTTTCCAGGCTCAGTTTTTACTCTTTTCTTTTTTCTTTCCATATTTCCTCTACTTGTATTTACCTTTTTATTCTTTAAATGGATTTTTTTCTTTCTCATCTTCCTTTTCTTTTGTGTAATTTTGCCTTTTTCACTTTTCCACCCCTTCCTTTTTTTTTATTGCTTCTAATCTTCATTCCTGTTTAGGCTTTTGCTTTATACGATCACTGCTCTTTTCTATGCTAACAGTGGCACAGTTGTTGCTTTTAACTGCTCACTGCCCTACGTCACCATCTGGCTTGCCCTGTGTCATCATCGTCACCACAGTTTCTTTTCTCCTCTGAGTCCTGGGGACGGAGCCCCCCACAGAAGGCTGGTCACTAAACAGCAGCTAGCACAGAGGTGGAGGAGGTGTCCGCCCTGGAGATGCACAAAGCCCAACACCGGTAAGGCAAGGCAACGCGTCTGAAGGCCACAGGCCTCGGAACTGAAGGCAAGGGGTCGAAACAGGTGAAATGCCAGGAAAACAATTCCAAACAACTCACTTGTAGAAGGACTGATGACCTCAAACAGGATAGAAAATAAACGGATGAATAAGGAAAACAAGAAAAAAACATGGAGGAATTCAATAAAGAGATAGATTCTACAAAAGATCCAAACACAAATCCTGGAAATGAAAAGCTTAAAGAGTCAAATTAAAAACTCAGTGAAAACCCCAACCGATGGACTGGATCAAACAGAAGATAGGATTCTGAGCTTGAAGAAAAGGCTAATGAATTATCACACACAGAGCATAATAAAGAAGACGTCAGAGAACAGGAAAAATATCCAAGATCTCTGGGACACTAGTAAAAGACAAAACTTATCAAATTTTGGCGTAGAAGGGAGGAAGGAAGGAAGGAAGGATGGATGACGGATGGATGGCTGGATGGGTGATGGATGGATTTATTCGGTGAAATAATACCAGAAAATGTCTCAAACCTTGGGAAAGATATGGACATCCGGATACAGAGGCACTCAGAAACTCCAACAGGCATGACCAGAAAAACCATCTCCACATCATATTATAGTTAAAATGTCAAGAGTACAGAACAAGAAAGAACAATGAAAACTCCATGAGAGAAACAGCAAATCACTTGTAATGGTGTACCTGTCAGAATAACAGCAAATTCCTCTGCTGAAACGCTAAAACACCAGCAGAATATGGAATAATGAATTTTAAGCCCCAAAAGAAAATAACTGCCAAGACAAATTACTATATCCAGCAAAGCTATCCTTCAGTATTGAGGGAGAATTAAAGACCTTCTGAATAAGTACACAAGGAATTCATGACCACTAATCTAACACCACAGAAAATACTTAAAGGAAGTCTACACACAGAAGCGAAGTAGACAAGCAAATGAAAATTGGGTGGGGGACATATAAGAGGAATTAGTACCTATCTTTTTACACGAACTCTGAATGTAAATGGGCTTAATTCTCTAATTTAAAAAAACACAGGCTGGGGGACCAGGAATTTAGCTCAGTGGTTCTGCTGCCTGCCTTGCAAGTGCAAGGATCTGAGTTCAATCCCCCGTACCCCAACAAAAAAAAACCACAGGCTGGCCAGGGATTTAGCTCAGTGGTGCCGCCACCTGCCGTTCAAGCACAGGGTCCTGAGTTCAATCCCTGGTACAAAAGCAAAACAAAACACAGAAAACACAGGCTGACAGAATAGATTTTTAAAAAGGCCCAACCCTTTCAGTCTTCAAGAAACACATCTCACCAGCACAATCATGCACAGATGGAAAGCAAAAGGATGGAAAACAATATTCTACTGTATGGAATAGCTATACCCATATATAACAAAGAAGACAAAATTAGTCAAGACAAAAAAAACGCCAGTACATATTGGCAAAGGAAGCAATTCACCAAGATATAAAAATATATACACTAACCAATTTTATAAAACAAACACTACTCAGAATAGACCTCAATAAAATGATAGTGAGTGGCTTCAATATTATACTCTTAGATAAAGTCATCCAAACAAACAATAGACACATGAGAATTGAACTATACCATCCCATCAAATGGTATACAGAAGATGGCCATACCAGCTGATGTCTACAGAAGATCCCATCCGACAACTGCAGAATGAGAGGAAAATCAGGAAAATAATGCCATTTGTGATAGCTCAAAGAACAAAACCTGGGCTGGGGATTCAACTCAGTGGCACCAAGCCTGCCTCGCAAGCATAAGGTCTTAAATTGGATCCCTGGTACCAAACTACAAACCTGAGAATTAACCTAACCCAAAGTGAAAGACCTCTACAGTGAAAAGCACAGAACAAAGAAGAAAGAAATTCAAGAAGACACTAAATGATGAAAAGACTGCTTATGTTCATGGATCAGCAGAATTCATGTTGTTAAAATGGACCTATTACTGAAAGTAACAGACAGATTCAATGGAATCCCTATTAAAACACCACTGGCATCTTTCAGAGAACTAGAAAAAATAATCCCAAAATTCATACGGAGACACTAAAGACATAGAATAACCCCCCCCTCAAAAAAATCCTGAACAAAAGAACAATTGTGGAGGCATCACAATACCCAGTTTCAAAATATATTACGAACGCACAACAACAAAAACAACATGGTACTGGCAGAAAAACAGACACAGAAAAAACTGGAACAGAATAGAGGACACAGAAACAAAGCAATGAAACTACATCATCCAATTCTTGGCAGCACACATTTTAGAAAAGACAGCCTCTTTAATAAATGGTGCTGGAAAAGCTGGATATCCACATGTAGAAGATCTAAACTAGAGCTTCCTCACCGCGCACAAAAGTAAATCAAAATTGATCAAAGACTTTGAAGACCTGAAACTCTGAAAATGCAAGAAGAAAACATATGGGAAGCATCTGAAGTCACGGGCACAGGCAAAGATTTCCTGATAGCACAGGAAATAAAATACCAAGAATCGACCAATGGGGGCCAGGGATTTAGCTCAGTGGTGCCACCACCTGCCTCCCAAGCAAAAGGACCTGAGTTTGAGCCCCAGTACCACACACACACACACACACACACACACACACACACACGCACACAGAAAATCAGCAAAAAGTTGCCAAAGGACCTCAGTTCAATCCCCCGTATCCCCCCACCAACCAATAAATGGGCTGGCCTACATCAAATTAGAAAGTTCAGAACAACAAAGGAAACAATGAAGAGTGAAGAGATAGCCCACAGAATGGGAGAAAAATCTTTGCCAGCTACCCTTCTGACAGAGGATTAATGCCTAGAATATATAAAGAAAGGAAAGGAAGGAAAGGAGGCAAGTAAGCCCCCAAATAATGCGATCAATAAATGAGCACATGAATGAAACAGGCACTTCTCAAAGGAAGTAGAAATGGCCAAACGAGTATATGAAGAAATGTTCTAACACTTTTAGCCACTGGGGAAATGCAAATCAAAACTACACTGAAAAAAAAAACTACATTGATATTGTGCCTTACCATAGTCAAGAATGGTTATCAAGTGCGCGCACGCGCGCGCGCACACACACACACACACACACACACACACACACTAAATGCTGGCAAGGATGCAGGGGAAAAGGAAACTTCACGTACTTCTAGCGGGAATGTAAATCAGTATAGATACTGGTAGGGAGATTCCTCAGAAAACTAAAAATAGAAGTACCACGTGATCCAGCTACACCAACCTATCAAAGTGAAATTAGGCAAACTGCAGAAAAACCAGTGGAACTGGAGATCATCATGTTAAGCAAAATAAGACAGACTCAGGTAAGTATCATATGTTTTCACTAATATGTTGACTCTAAAAGAAAGAAAAGACGGCACGGGAGTGGAAGGGATACCGTTACTGGAGAAGAGGAAGTGAGCGGGGGACAGAGGGTGTGGGGGACAGAGGGGCACATCAGGAAACAATCACGTTGCCACAGCACAGCGAGTAAAGCGCAGAGGGGGAAGAGGGAAGCCAGGAGCGGTGGGAGCAGGGACAGAGAGGTACTGATGTGGGCGGGGAAAGGCAGTAGATACCGAGGCCCCAAAAGGAGGCAGCAGGGACAGGGGAAGTTGAAGAAATTAAGAGATGAGTACGAAAATGGGAGCGAGGACCCGCTAGGGTGGAGGATGGGCTCGGTTTCTGGCCTGAAGATCCATTCACCGAGTGAGGAGGCGGAGGAGGACGCCGGCTGCACGCTCACAGCAGGCTCCAGCTCAGTCCCACGTGCTCCTCCCCGTGCTGACACCGCCAGCGCCCGGAGTCCCAGACCCTGTCAGGGGCGGGGTCTCGGCGGGGCGTAAGTCCTCTCATAGCCGGGCTGCCCGACCACCCTCAGGGCCAGAGCCAGGAGGTACATCCGCGCACGTGCGGACCTTTCTGTCTGTATTTATTTCTATGAGTACAGCTATCTACACGACATCCAGAATTCACCCTGAAAGCTCTAATTCCAACCCTAACTTCACAGCTCCCTTCACTGACAGAATCCAGCTTTGATTTCTCTCAGTAACTTTACTTGCTCAGTTCTGTGTACGTAACCAGGCCCACCGTGCCTCTGAGCTGCCTGCTGTCCCTGCACACAACAGCATGACGGCTGCCAACTGACTTCGGGACGGCGTGAAGGGAGACCAGAGAAAGGGAGGGAAAGGCGGACAAAGGGAAGGAAGGGTTAAAAGAGATTATTTATAACACCTGCCCCAGCGTAAAAGTCCAGCTTCTATTTTTTGTGACCATCAGATAACTGCGGCCCTACCACCACCCAGTTGTTGCTTTCTTTTTTTTTTTTGTTTTTTGAGACAGGGTCTCAGTATGTAGTTGAGACTGACCTAGAACTCACTATGTAGCCCAGGCTGGTCTCAACTCACAATGATCCTCCTGCCTCAGCCTCCCAAGTGCTGGGATTACAGGTGTGCACCACACCCAGCTTTTTTTTTTCTTTTTTGAGACATGGTCTCACTGTGTAGCTCAGGCTTGCCTCGAACTCACAGCAACCTTTCCTTCCTCAGCCTCCAGAGTGCTGGGATCACAGGCCTGTGCCACCACACCCAGCTCCCAATTTGTTTTACTGTCATTTAACAAGAACAAAGAAAAAATGGCCTAGCTGGGTGTGGTGATACACACCTGAGAGGCTGAGGCAGGAGGATCACTGTGAGTTTGAGACCAGCCTGGGCTACTAGTGAGTTCCAGGTCAGTCTCAACTACACAGTGAGACCCTGTCTCAAAAAACCAAAACAAACAAAAGAAAAACCAATGGCCTCAACTCATGTAAATGCATATAAACAACTAAGGGGAATAAATACTATAAAAATTTTGAATTACCCCTCTAGCAGCAAGTTCCATTTCAGTACTATTCCAGTGATCAGTCTGCTCTAAAAAATGTATCATTTCATTAAAAACGTTTTCAAACTTCTTTGGATTCTGTAGAAAAAAAACAAATTTTCATCCTTAACTCGATTATATATACAAAAAGGCTCAAGCCTACAGTAAGTTATTCTCCAGGTAAGTTTGTTGCATTGTATTCTCTCTGAATACAAATGAATCAGAATACATTTTTTTTTTGGTACTGGGGATCGAACCCGGGTCCTTGCGCTTGTGAGGCAGGCGGCAGAACCACTGAGCTAAATCCCCAGCCCCAGAATACATTTTTGAGGTATGAAAATTCCTTTCATTTACTCTTCTGTTGTTCCCACATAGTGCAGAAGTTGAAAATGAGAATGTTAGAAGAGATCACAGCAAACCGCTGACGACTCCAATCGAGTGTGCCTGTGTAGGCCCGTCCCTTCCGGGGAGACCTGGCACTGCACACACCAGATACCCCACTCCACACCAGGACTCACACTCAGGACTCTGCACTCGCCAGGTAGGCGGCAGCACTGCTGAGCTACATCCCTGGTCCACCAGAGACCCTTCTGATGCTCCCTGTGAGGACCTACTCTCATCCCTGGGTTTGTCTGCGGGAAGCCCAAGAAGGCAGTCTAAACTCTATGGTCTTTACTATAACCTTTTCCTGCTTCATAGTTTAGCTGGGTGTGGTGGCGTACGCCTGTAATCCCAGCACTCAGGAGGCTGAGGCAGGAGGATCGCTGTGAGTTCAAGACCAGCCTGGGCTACATAGTGAGCTCCAGGTCAGTCTCAACTGCATAATGAGACCCTGTCTCAGAAAAAACAACAAAAAAACAAAAACAAAAACTACTTCATACTTTAAGTTCCTTTCCCACTTAGCACTTACTTATCATAACAATCCCCTGAAACAGGGTAACACAAATTCCACTCTATGAAGGACAGAACTGAGGTTCAAAAGGACTGGACTGGAAAACCAGGCGCACGGATGGCTCAAGGAAGACCTGTTTTGTTCTCATCACCTGGACCAACCTTGAATAAAGTAAAGTGGGTCCCACAGCCTGCATCGAGCACCTGCCGCTGTTTCTACCTCTGTGAGCCCCATGAAGGCAACTAAGAGGCAGCTCGGTTTGTATTCAATTTCTGACTGCTGCTGTGTCCTGTGACCTCGTTCCTGAACAGGAGTCAGGGAGTGTAACAGTGGTAGTTACAGTAACCAGTGATTCTAGAGATGGATTTTCACCCTGACACTGACAGATTTTGCGGCAAACTGTGAATAACTTAGGAGAAGCAACTTGCTCAGAAGGGTGTGGGCTTTATATACGGAAAATAACTAAACCTAAGAAGAAATCAACACTCTTTGGAATATGTGGGCCTTTGCAGCTATCTACACAAACTTTTTCAACTTTAAAAATTTAATGTATTTTAGCCTTTAGTTATGCCAAAACAATAATAAGAAAACTTGCTAACAAAACAACTTTACCTTTCGTGCTTTGACAATTAAAGCTGATAAAATTTTCCTTCCACTCTCAGCCAGGAATATCCTGTTGGATGTTTCTGAAAGAATTACCTAAAAAAAAATCCATTTGCAAGCAAAAGTAAAAGATAGGTAAAGGCATCTGAGCAGCTACATAAACCTCGAATACAGTTTTTGCTAAGTCAACCAGTGGATCACAGAGAAAGCATAAGTTCATTAAAGCGTAAAGAGCCTTCAAACATAAAAAATTAAAAGGAAGTTATTTTGAGCTTAAATCTGCTTAACATAACTAGAAAACCTAAAAAACATAAAACAAAGGGCTGGGGATTAACTCAGTGGCACCGTGCCTGCCTCGCAAGCACAAGGTCCTGAGTTCGATCTCCGCACCAACCCCCCCAAACAACTATAACAACAACAAAAAATAAAACATGGTCATTTATTTTCTTTTTAAAGGAAATTGATAACTTTGGGGTTTTTTTCAAATAAAAAAATTAAATACACACTAATCGATAACAACAAAGATTTTTAAGCAGTCACTTTTTACACACCTGCAACATCAAAATACCGTTTCTGACAAAGTGTGGTGGCCCGGGGACGCCATGGGGAAGGGCGAAGACTGAAGGGGACAAATAGCAGGAGGGCCATGCACAGGCTCAGGGTCCGGTGTGACAAGGGGGTGCAGCGGCAGGAGCTGTCCTGGTCGGGGCGGGGTGGGGAAGGCTACTCAGGGCTGAAAATACCTGAAAAGCCTGCCGAATACAGTGCAGCTTGGCAAGGAAGTCACTGTCTCCAAGGCACTCCAACACTTCGGTTCTGCATAATGAACGGGAGACAGCTGTCAGACCTGGCTGAAGGTCCAGCCTATGGACAGTCTGGAGTCACGAGGCTTACTCACGGGAGCTTACAGAAAACACGTCTTCTCCATGCTCGCAGAACACGTAAAATTGTTTTCTTTTTTATTTAGACCCAAACCGTATTTCCCTCTGTTCTCATACACACAATTGAATCACTATCACACAGACACGGCAAGGGCACCTCAGTATGTTTCCTGAACATAAGCAAAACTAGCACGGTACCTCAGCACCCTGGAGTGGATTTTCCCCTCTTCAACTAAATGCATGGCTTCTTCATAAAAGGGGCAGCGGCAGAAAGACTCCAGGCTGTAGGTCTGCCTTGCTTCTCTGTGCTCTGTGGGCTGAGAACACAGCGAGTTAGCACACAGTACATTGGCAGGAGCCTGTCAGCATCTCCCTATCAGCAAGACACACAGAATTGGATAAAACCTACAAATCATCCATTTCTGTTCTAGCGCAAATGAAACCTAATTTTATTTTATGTCAGAATCCAGTTGGGTCAAAAGAGAAGAACTTTGGAACAAGCTTAGTTCACTGCTAGTCCACTACTTAAATCTACAGGGTACATAAAACAGCAATCGCCTTATTGTGCATCAGTAAGAATAACTAGAGGAAGCAGAGGGAGGTCAGCGTCCAAGGAGTACTTGGCTGTATGAACTCAGTAGGCAAAACTTTCTACAAAAACATGAAAATAAGCTCAATTTAGCTATTCCACCTTCTAAGTAGCTTTGATTACCCTTTGTAAAACTATTCTTTGTCTGGATAGCACAGCAACCCTAAACATAGAATTCCAGTCTTTCCTTGAGACAAGGCCTTGCCACGAGGGTCCAGGCTGGCCCTGAACTCGTGATCCTCTTGCCTCACCTCACTCGAGTCCTGCAATTCTAGGCCTGACCACTGCACCTGACTAGGATTCCAGGCCTCTAACAGTAAGTTAAAAACTACTGCAAACACTGTATTTTGTTTGTAGCCAGCTAAACGAAAATCCTCTAGAGTAACTTCGTTTCTAATACCAAATATCCATTTAGTGGCACACTATTTTTAATAATAATTTTATTGATACGCCTATACCATAAAACCCACCCTTTTGAAATATACAGCTCAGTGGTTTTTTTGTATCAGAGTTGTGCAGCCAATGCTGCTTGCTTGCTTTTTTTTTTTTTTTTTTTTTTTTTTTTTTTTTTGATACCGGGTCTCAAACTCAGGACCTTGCACTTGAGAGGCAGGCGAGGGAACCACTGAGCTAAATCCCCGGACCCTAACACTGCTTTCCAATTCCAAAACATTTTCATCACTCCTTCCAGAAACCCCTATCCACTAGTAGTCACCCCAAGTTCACCCTTCCCCCCAATTCCTGGAAACCACTGTCTGCTTGCAGGCTCTATGGGACATCTACTGTGGAAATGAGCCACTATGTGGCCTTTGTGTTTGGCTGCTGTCACTCAGCAGAATGTTTTCAAGGCTCTTCCGTGATACAGCGCATGCCAGAGCAGGTCCTTCATGTCCACAGCTGAATCAAATCCCAGCATGTGGACGACCTCACCACTGAGTGGCTCTGGGCCCTCACGAACACGGCTGCTGCCACGAGCATTTGGGCACATGCTCTCGTGCACACATGTTCTCAATTCTCCCGGATCCATCCAGGAATTGAAGGGTCAGACGGCAGCTCCGTTTTACTTTCGGAGGAGCCACCAGACTGTTGTGCAAAGTGGCTGCCCGTTTTCCCATACCGCCAGCAATCTGTAAGAATTCAAAATTGTACGCCTTGTCAATAACAACTGTTATCATCCATCTTTTGTTTTTCATTGTTTTGTTTTGTTTTTCGGTGCTAGGGATTGAACCCAGGGAACACTGAGCTACATCCCCAGCACTTTTTATTTTCAGGCAGGACCTTGTTATGTTGCCCTGGCTAATGTCAAATTTGTAGTCTTCCTGCCTCAGCCTTCCAGGTGCTGGGAATACAGATTATATTATGTATTTTGCTCAGTACGAGGGATTGAAAGCAGGGCCTTAACACGTTAGGCAAAAAGTCAACACCAAGCTACATCACCAGCCCCCATCTTTTTTATTATAGCTACCGTAGAGAATGTGAACTGAAGATTTCTCATCTTATGGGCCATTTGTATATTTTCTTTGGAGAAATATCTATTCAAACCCTTTGGCCATTTTTAAATTGCAATATTTGCCCACTGGCGCTGGAAGAATTTTTATAGTCTATGTACAACCCATTATCAGTTTTTAAAAATACAATTTAAAAATATTTTCCCCCATTCTACATTTTCTTTTTATTTAAAGTAGGATTTCACTATTTAGTTCAAGCTCACCTTACACTTGGTTGCACAACTTGAGTATATGAAAAACCACTGAGCTGTGCATTTCAGGCTAGTCCTGAATTTGCAATCCTCCTGCCTCGGCCTCCTGAGTAGATAGGATTATAGGCAAGTGCCACTATGGCTGGCTCTAATTAATTTATTTTTATACCCTAACATTCTTTTCCTGTTGCACAGAGAATCAATGTCAGCCATAGGTGAGAGGGCATCCCAACCGCCAACGTCCTTCCTGGGCACACACAGCCCCTTCATGCACACAGCCTTCTGGACCCCCAGGAATGTGTCAGAGCTTTTCAAAGACTGCACCACCCAGCTGGGGATTTAGCTCAGCGGTTCGGTGGCCTGCCTTGTAAGCGCAAAGACCTGAGTTCAATCCCTGGTAACAAAAAAAAAAAAAAGACTCCACCACCCCACCCATACACATCTCGTTGTCCACTTTCACTTTCTAGGGTTTTGCTGGTCCGTCCCCCGCCATACTGGGGATCTCTCAGGACCTTGCGCAGGTGAGGCAGGCAGCGGCCCCACTGAGGTAAATCCCCGACCCTCCCAGTCTTTTGATGACTTCTTGCTTGCACCTCCAGGCAGGTAGCTTCCGCAGTAACAACCGACAGGGCTGTTTTCAGGGAAGGCGCGAGAGGGGCAGGACTCCGCACAGACAGAGCTGCAACAAGATTAGTGTTGAAGACAACTACGGAGGTGGGGATTGAGAGAGCTCACTGCTCTCATGGAGATTCTGCCATTTGTCTTGAATAAAGACTTTTTGAAGCTTTGCAAGTCTTTCCTGTTTTCAGAGCTCTGAAAATTTTGATTTTAACCATTTTTGCCCGTTCTCCTTGCTTTGTGAAAGGGTCCCTTGGACTTTTTTTTTTGGGTGGTACCGGGGATCGAACTCAGGTCCTCGCGCTTCCGAGGCAGGCCACCGAACCGCTGAGCTAAAAGCCCGGCCCATGGACTATTTCTTTAAAGTTGTGCTGAGGATGCAAGCCAGAGCCTTGCATGTACTAGGTAAATGCTCTGCCACCAGCTGCACCCCAGCTCCTCCAGATCCCACAAGAATTTCTCCAGGCTTTAGTTCTGGCGCTTCACACAACCTGGTGTTGTGCTCCATGCTGTAAACAACTATTTCATTTACCCTCACCACTCATGAAGAAGCAGACATTTAGAATAACAGAAAACTTGTTTCAAGTCCCACAGCTAAGTGGTAAATTTAATCTCCGGCCTATAATTCCAGAGTTTATGCTGTTTAGCACCAAATGACACCATTTCTATCAGTCTTATCTACAGAACACAGAGTAAGAAATTCTAGCTCCGGCGCTCCAGGGTGCAGATGAGACCAGAGGTCTAAAGAAAGTGCGTGGCGATGACAGCAGCTGACCCTGTCTTCTAGGTGAATATACCCCTCGCATTTTAAGGAAATAAGTTGTGCTCAAGGAAAAATCATTTGAAGTCTATAAAAGAAATCTACCAACTTAAACAACCCCTCAGAACTGAAAGTCTTTATTAAATAATTTAAAATTTTTCTACTCTCCTCAAAACAAATAGGTTCCACATATCCCTACAAACAGGGAAAAATCTGAGGAAGGAAAGTGGGATCCCCAGTTAAAATAACATACTGGTAAGTCAATGAATTCAACAACAAGAGATTCCAGGCTCAAATTGTGATTTAATGGTCTACTTTGCTTATTTGCCGAAGTAATTACTTAAACAAGACCTCTAAAACAGACTAACCGGCTTACAGCTGTGAAAATGCAGCTTACTGAAGGTCTGTACAACACCTGCTAGCAGGGGCATAAACTCAGGAGACAATGTCAACTTGAATTTATTGTAATCATTCATCTTAACTTCTAATTTATTTATGTATTGGTACTGGGGATTGAACTTGGGACCTTGTGCCTGCAAGGCAGGCGGCGGCAACCCTGAGCTAAATTCCTGGTGGTTTTAACTTTTTTTTTTGAAGCAGGGTCTCACTGTGTAGTTGAGACTGACCTGGAACTCATTATGTAGCCCAGGCTGGCCTCGAACTCACAGCGATCCTCCTGCCTCAGCCACCCCAGTGCTGGGATTACAGGCGTGCGCCACCATGCCCAGACAATCTTAACATTTTTAAAGCAGAATTTCTAAAGTGTTGATTTAAATTCTCATTTTAGAATATATTTTATAGGAAAAATTTTTCAATAAAATTCTGATACATTTTAAAAGTTTTCAGAAAAGATTAACAACTAGAGCTGAGATGCTACTTTGGACGTAGAAGTCAATAATGTATTCTGAGGGAGATCAATGACAATGTATCTTTTACTGTAATAAGTTTTAAAAAAATTAAATATTTACCACATATTTTGACATACCGCACACTGTTAGTGGAAACAGTACAGTGATTCCTCAAAAAACTAGGACTACCACATGATCCAGCAGTCACACAAGCAGATATGTATCTGTAAGAATTAAAATCACTAGGGCCGGGGATTTAGCTCAGTGGTGCCGCCACCTGCCTCACAAGCACAAGATCCTGATTCGATCCCCAGTACCCAAAATAAAAATAAATAAATAAATAAAATCAGTAGGCCAAAGAAAGCCCTGCACTTGCTGTTTAATGCAGGACTATCACAACAGCCAAGATACGGCATCAACTGCCCCGAGAGGTGAGTGGATACACACTATGGCGTGTATGTACAATGGCACAGTATATTCAGCCGTAAAAAAGAACGAGATTCTGTCATTTGCAGCAGCAGAGATGGAACTGAAGGACATTATTTCAAGTCAAATATAACAGCACACGCCAAAAATACTGGATGTTCTCACTTATGCCCAGCAGCTAGAAAGCTGGTCTCCTAGAAGTAAAGAAAAGAGGGCTGGGGACATAGCTCAGTGGGACAGTGCCTGCCTGCCAGTCGCAAGCACAAGGTCCTGAGTTTGATTCACCAGTGGAGGGGTGGGGGGAGCAGAGAAAAGAAGAGTGGTCACCAGAACCTGGAAGGGATATGGGTGGGGAAAGTGCGGCCGAGGTAATGGAGATTAATCCAGGCCTTCCCACTGCGCTACACCCTCAGTTCTTTTTTTTTTTTTTTTTTACACGCCAAAAATACTGGATGTTCTCACTTATGCCCAGCAGCTAGAAAGCTGGTCTCCTAGAAGTAAAGAAAAGAGGGCTGGGGACATAGCTCAGTGGGACAGTGCCTGCCTGCCAGTCGCAAGCACAAGGTCCTGAGTTTGATTCACCAGTGGAGGGGTGGGGGGAGCAGAGAAAAGAAGAGTGGTCACCAGAACCTGGAAGGGATATGGGTGGGGAAAGTGCGGCCGAGGTAATGGAGATTAATCCAGGCCTTCCCACTGCGCTACACCCTCAGTTTTTTTTTTTTTTTTTTTTTGGTACTGGGGATTGAACTCCTGTCCTTGGGCTTGCAAATCCCTGGCTAAATCCCTGGCCCCCTCAGTTCTTTTTTTTTGAGGCAGGATCTCACTATGTAATTCAAACTGGCCTTGAACTGACAGCAATCCTCCTGCCTCGGCCTCCCAAATGCTGGGATTACAGGCGTGCACCACCACACCCAGCTCTTCTTTGTTTTTGAGACAAGGTAATAAATAATCTGATCTCAATAAATTGCCCAGGCGGGGCTCGAATTTGAGCTCATCTTTCCTCAACCCTCCAGAATGCTGGGATCATAGGTGTGCGCCCATACCAAGCACAGAGTATTCTGAATGTTCCTAACAGAAAGAAATGTGCCTGGAATGATAGAAAAGCTCATCACCCTGATCCGATCATTAAATACTGTAGATGTGGTATGTATTAAAAAGTCAGGCTGGGGATGTAGCTCAGCGGTGCCTGCACAAGGTCCTCAGTTTGATCCCCCATACTGAAAAAAAAAAAAAGTCATACTGTACACATGCCTATTAGTTTTGTTTTTGTTTTGTACCAGGGATCAAACTTGGGACCTTGTGCTTGTGAGGCAGGCGGTGGAAACCCTAAGCTAAATCCCCAGCCCTACATGTCTATTAGTTTTAAAAATGACGTTTCAGAACTTGCAGGAAAACACTATGCTAAGTAAAACAAAGCCAAACATAAAGTATCGCACACTATATGATTCCATTCCAGAACACGGCAAATAAATCCAGAGTCTGAAAGGAAACTGCTGGCTTCCAAAGGCTGAGGCTAGAAGGGCTGGAGAGTGAGTGATAATGGGCAACAGTTTATTTCTGAAGTAATAAAAATGTCTGGAATTAGAAAGTAGCACTGGCTGTACAATTCCATGAATACACTAAAAAACACTGAATCGTATACTTCAAAAGGGTGCATTTTATGGCATATGAATTATCTCAATAAAGCCATTATATTTAAAAACATAAACAAGATTTTTGAACTGTGATTTCCAAATCAATGTTTGGCAAAGTTAATAGGAAAACCTTGCTAATCACTTTCACAAGTGATTCGCTTAGCTCAGAGAAAAGCTTTTCATCTACACAGCCAAGACATCTTTCTTTTGTTGGTTTTTTTCTGTACTAGGACGGAACCCAGTGCCTTCGAACTGAGGTACATCCCCAGCCCTTTTTTAAATTCTTTGAGACAGGATCACCAAATACAGTCAAGGGCCACCACAGTCCAGCCACAAGAAATCTTTCTGCTATTTCTAAAATAGCTCTCATATGATCAGAAATGTTAACTTCTCAAACATTTCTGATCTTAATTTCTTAATAACTTGCCCCATTAAAATAGTATTCTTTTTCTTTTTGGAAACAAAGTCTTACTATGTAGTTTAGGCTGGCCTGGAACTTACAGTGATCCTCCTGCCTCAGCCTCCTGCGTGCTGAAATTACAGACATGTGCTACCACACCTGGCTAAAATAGTATTCTAGAGGGCTGAGGATGTAGCCCAGTGGTAGAGCACTTGCCTGGCACGTATGAAGCCCTACAGTCAATCCCCAGGACTGCAAAAGAAAAAAAATGGTTTTCTTGATGTTAAGTGTTTCATGTATAAATATAATTTTAAAAGATTTAACATTTCTGAGCCAGATATTTAGCTCAGTGGTGCCGCTGCCTGCCTCACAAGTGCAAGGTCCCAAGTTCGAGCCCTGGTACCCAAAAAACCTTAACATTTCTTGTTGCATAAAATAACTTACCTTGGAACACTCATGTTCTGACACTATACATTTATTATACCTATTCCTAGGACATTTTTTGGATATGGCATCCTTCTGTATATTATGTATTTTGTTTTCTATGAGAATTTTAAAAAAAATTAGACCTTTGTCATTTAAACAACAAACTTAAAGTGAATCCAATGAATAAATACCTCGACTGTTTTCTTTTTTTGCTTGCTGAGGACTGAGCCCAGGGCTTTGCACATGCGAGGTAAGCATCCTACCACCGCGTTACCACCCAGCCGCCAAAGTGTTTTATTAAATGTGAGTACTAGAGACTTTTAGAGCCTTGTAGTTTTATGCACATTGTTTCTCACGCTGGGAAAAATGCAGAGGGAACAGGGATTCTTCTCCACAGAAACCACCCTGGACTCGTCTGTATTAAATAGTAAAAGGAAGAAGCAGCAGCTTTCCAGGAAAAGTGATCCCCACTGCGTGCCCGTTAGTGTACTTACACTCAGGGTTTTCTTCTGCCCAATCCTTATGTAGAATGCTTTTCTCTTTTTTACAAAATCACAAGCTTATACCACATGAAAATTTACATACTCTTTTATATCAACGTATGTTCCCATGTCATTAAAAATTACTAAAAACAGTTTATGGCTCTATAGTATTTCAAATTACACATGTCTGTAATTTGGCATTGGACAGTTCTCAGTTTTTTATTATTAAACTGCCACAATGAGTATCATTACATGTACTTTGTGAATCAGATTACTTTCTGGAAACAAAGCTATAGAAGTATCACCTGTGAACTAAAGAATCTGAACACTGAAAGCTTTTGATAGAAGACGAAATTGCTTTCCATCAAGATAATTCTTCTGCCTGGCATGGTGGTGCACACCTGTAACGCCAGCACTTGGGAGGCTGAGGCAGGAGGATCACTACTCGGTGAGGCCAACAAGGGCTACACAGTGAGTTCAAAGCCCGCCTGAACTACACAGTGATACCCTGTCTCAAAACAAAACAAAAAAGCTAACACTTCTGTGCGTCATCAGTGAGCTACAGCCTGTGGCAGAGCCCGTCCAAGGGAGGTGTCTATGTGGTCCCCTCATTACAGAGGCTGCAGCCCCTGTGCAAAGCCAAGTGCAGGAAGCGCTCATCCGGGTGTCCTGGTGCCCACAGGGACACACTAAACAGACGGCAGTGGAACTAAGTCAGCACGATGGGAAAACCGTACTCCACTGCACAGGACGAAAGAGAAATTCTGATAGGAACAGACAGGTCCTACCTCTGCCGCTGAAGCGAAGGAGTCAGCTGACGCAATGCTCAAGGCATCTCGGAGGCCACAGTCACCTGCATCCCCCGTCACCGTGGTATCTGTATCTTTATCTTAAAAGTGAAGAAAGGCAGAAAGTTCAGAGGGGGATTCTCCTTGTCTCTGCCATATTTCATTTCTATAGCTGGTGTCCCGCCTATCCCAGGCTTTAGTTAGGGTACAAAGATCTAAAGGAAAACCGCAGTGCATCAGAGGGACAGAACCTGACAACACTCTCCAAGTACAGCTGCCGCCTGATGGTGAGTGCCCAAGCAGCGGTGAAAGCACTGTGACACAGACGTCACTTTTAACACAAAAGCAAGATTAAAATTAAGTTGGACTTTGAGTATCACAACTCTAAGTTAGATTATCTACCATACATGGTAAAATCAGCATAGAGCAATTTAAGTATTTTTCGCCCTGTAAGGCCTACTTTAAAAACTGAACACTTAAAAGCCAGGCATAGCAGCGCACAGCTGCAAGAAGACTGCAAGTTCAAGCCCAGCCTGTGCAACCTAGTAACTTAGTGAGACCCTGTCTCAAAAAATAAAAAGGGCAGAGAAGCAGCTCAGTGCCCAACCTTCAGTACTATAAAAAAACAAAGCAAAATAAAATGCTGAGGGGCCGGGGATTTAGCTCAGTGGTTCCACTGCCTGACTCCCAAGCAAAAGGTTCCGAGTTTAATACCCAGTACCAAAAACAAAACAAAACAAAATGCTGAATGCTCCCAATAGGATCAGCCCTAGGTCCTTTATATTTACTTTGCTTGAAGGCCAATGACAACTGCTCCGATGATTTTTTTTTTTTTTTTTTGGTTTTTTGAGACCAGGTCTCACTCTGTAGTTGAGACTGACCTAGAACTCACTCTGGAGCCCAGGCTGGTCTCGAACTCACAGCGATCCTCCTGCCTAAGCCTCCCAAGTGCTGGGATTACAGGTGTGAGCCACCACGCCCGGCTTCCAATGATTTTAAAAGGGTAGAAAAGCTGAACTACTTTGGAGATGACTTACCTGGCCAAAGACAGGCTACCTAGTAGCAATGCACAGCATTTGAATGTAGGCATGACATTCTTCATACACTGTTACCAAGAATCTAATTGATGACATTAAATTTTCAAATACCTACTGACAGATTATATTGTAGCAAACAACTGATGTATTTCAAAATTTATCACAAGAACAAAATTTGTTTAAATGCCAAAAAAGAAACCAAAATTTATCACAGGTACAGAAAACACAGAATGAAATATATGCTGCTTTTTTTTTTCTTTTTCTTTTTGGTACCAGGGATCAAACTCAGGTCCTTGTGCTTGTGAGGCAGGCGGTGGAACCACTGAGCTTGAACCTCTGGCCCTCTTGCTGCTTTTTCTTATTTTGAGTCTCAATCTGTGAAATTTGTCAGACATTTTATCTTCTTTAAACAGAAACTTTAAATCACATCAGCTCTCATTTATCAAAACTTCTAGGCCGGGCGTGATGGCGCACGCCTGTCATCCCAGCACTCAGGAGGCTGAGACAGGTGGATCGCTGTGAGTTTGGGACCAGCCTGGGATACATAGTAACTTCCAGGTCGGTCTCAACTACATAGTGAGACCCTGTCTCAAAAAACCAAAACAACAAAAGAAAACAAAACAAACAAAACTTCTACTCCAACATTGTTCTATAAATAAAATTTACGACTTTTACCAGAAATCTCTCCAGTTCTTGTTCAATCCCTAAATCCCAGAAAATGTCACATCTGTGACTCGAAAGGAAGTGCAGCTTTTAGTATATTTTAAGTTCAAACCATTAATTTATTTAAATTCAAAAGTTACTGATTTATTTTCAAGTTCTAAGACACACAGAACAGAAAATAGGCCACAATTGGTACAAAATTTATTCCCATTAAGTATCAAAAAATCATGAAAGTGGGACGGGGATTTAGCTTAGTGGTTCTGCCACCTGCCTGGCGAGCACAAGGTCCCAACTTTAATTCCTGGTACCAAAAAACACTGCACCAAAAAAACCAAAAAACAAACAAAAAAAACAAAACAAAAAAAAAACCACACACACACACACACACTCACACTCACACACACGTAGCATACACTTCATTTATTTATTTATTTTAGGTACCTCTACTTTATTTTTTGTGAGACAAGATTCTACATTTTAACTATTTACCTTCTAAGTTCAATTATAGTTGATTTCATATGAAGTTTACTTTTTTTGTTTGTTTTTTTTTTTGAGACAAGGTCTCACCACATAGTTTTAGCTGGTCTTGAATCTACTAGATAGCCCAGGATGGCCTCAAACTCATGGCAGTCCTCCTGCCTCAGCCTCCTGAGTGCCAGGATTACAGGCTTGCATGACCACACCATCTCAATTCTTTTAAAGTACAGGACCTAACTTTTCAGTTTAAAGTCTTACTATAGGGCTGGGGATTTAGCTCAGTGGTTCTGCCGCCTGAGCACAAGGTTCTGAGTTCGATTCCTGGTACCAAAAAAAAAAAATAAATACAATAAAGTCTTACTACAAAGCCAGCCATGGTGGCACATGCCTTCAGTCCCAGGAATGTGGGAGGCAGAGGCAGGAGGATTGCTTGAGCCCAGGAGTTTCGGCCAGGCTGGGCAAGACAATAAAACCCTCATCTGGGAAAAAAATTCCTTCTACCACTAAATGACCATGGGAAAAATGGTTGTACTGAGGCTAAATTATTATATTTCTAAAAATGTTGTAGAAAACAAAAATACTGTAGAAATTTAGTTTTCAGGGCCAGGGATTTAGCTCAGTGGCACTGCACCTGCCTGGCAAGTGCAAGGTCCTGAGTTCAATTACCATATGGGAAAAAAAAAAAAAGAAAAATTTATTTTCCATCAAACTAGAGAATAAAACAATATGATTATTTTATACTTCTACACAGCTACAAAACTTGTACCTTTGGATACTCGATTATGTGTGAAAATTCCCGCAATTCTCTTTTCTATATACATATAAGATTTTTAAAAAATACACACACAAACACACATACTTTGAGATTATTTAAATTTTTAAATCAGCATTTATAATGACTGAAGTCTAATTTTCTTAATTTCTTAATTTTTTTCATTATTTATATAACCTGTGCAGAAAAGAATCCACAGTAAATTTTCCTTATCCTAAAGCATGTTTAAAGTGGGACCAAGTTTACAAGTCAATTAACTCTTGGTTCCACCGGCCTCTTGCTATTTTCAGCATGGGACACAGACGCTTATCTTGCGTCACTTTACCCTCAGACATTATCCTTGAGCTGCGAAAAGTCTGTTCTACTTCAATCAGCAGCCAACAGCCATTCAGCGTCATCCAGACCAGCTTCAATGGCTGCACTTTATTTTTTAAAAAAGAACACACACACAATCTAACAGAAAAATGGCTCAATTCCAGAGGAACTAGAAAGACTTACGCATTAAATAGTCCAACTTCATGAACCCCAGACCATACCTTTTATTTCAGTAACTGTTAGGATTCCTGGAATGGCAGCTTAATAATTATGAAGAGAAATAACACATCTGCTTTTCATAAGCCAATAAAAAGTACTTTAAAAAAGGATCTTGGGCAATACCCTAAACTAACTGCTTTCTGTGCCTCCAATTAAAATTAAAATACTTTCTAAAATGTATCAATCTTGATTCCAATACTGAAAGTCAGGGACAGAATAAAAATTTGAAAACCAAAGGTTTTATCTTAGTATTTTCAGACACTGTGTACTAAATATTTCTCTCTCTTTTTTTTGGTACCGGGGATTACTAAATATTTCTTAATGGAAAAAAAAAATGCTAAAACCAGAGTGACATAGCACTATGCACCTACCAGAGCAGTTAAAATTGGAAAAAATTGTTCTTTTCAAAGATGTACAGAGATGGAAACTCTCACATTAATTTGTAGAAATGCTCTGGAAAGTCTGGCTCCATCTACAAAAGTTCAAGATTATGTTCTCTAAGGCCTAGCAATTCCAGCCTTGGATATGTTTTACAGAAATGTGTGCTTAATATGTAAGAATGTTCCCGACCATGCTGTTTATAATAGCCCCAAACTGAAACAACTTAAACCCACTATTCCTCTACCAGAGGACATACAAACTATGTACTATATTCATACAATGAAACACAATACAACTAGAAGAATCACTACAGCAGCAACTTGTAAGCAATACAAATCTCACGATCCCGTAAGTGAAGAACTAGAGCTATGACTTCATTTACACAAGGCTCAAACACAGGTAGACTAAACTACAGTGATCAGGGTTATACATTGTTGATAAAATTCTTGAGAAAAGCTGGAAAACGATTAGCATCAGGATAGTGGTTACTCTGGGAGGGCTGGGAATGTTTTACGTTTTGACCTACATGAGTCTTACGCAAGAGTACGTGACAGATCACTGTGCTACTCCGAAACTCACACTACTTTAAAACACGCAGCCACAGGATTATGCCCCGCAAGCATTCTCCAAAAATTATCTACTTTGTTGCTTCTATGGAAGGCAGGATAGCAAAGGTGTTACAAGCGTGAATCAGACAGCTTGGATTCCTATTCTGACTCTACTGTGTGACCTTGGGAAAGTTTATCTTTCCTGGTCCTCATCTGAAAACCGGAATGAGCCCTACTTCCATAAACTGTGTGAGGATGAAATCCATTAACATATATTGTGTTATGTAACTACTGCCCGAATGTATAAGACAGAAAACCTGTGGCACTGCTGCCCTGAAGCAACTTGGCTCGAGGGCTTTCTTTGCTTCGTTTCTAATAATTTCTATTATTCTTGTAATACTGAACATACTACAAACAAATGCTGGTTCTGTAAACGAAGATATGTTACTTGTTCCTATAAAAAGACTATCCCCAGGACGTGTCATTTCTTTCCTCTGGGTCATTCTGTCTTTAATATGGTCTGGACTGTCTTCAGAGCTCTCTTACATTTCCTACGTCTCTACTTCTCAAACCTAAACTAATTAGACTTCAGATACTATTTTCTAAACCTGAAGCATACAGTATATATCTTTTAATGAATGATAACTAAGCTTTTGATGATAACTAAAAGAAAGCTTTCCACAAACTGG